AGTCAAAGAGTTTACAATCCGATAATATACAATTCTTACATTGTACAACAAGGATGAAAGAGTGCACAATTCTTTCCCTTCAACCGCTCAAGCTACGAAATTCCTGAGTTCACTACTTACTCAGCACTACTTCTAGCATCGCCTGGGTGGGGTTATATATATATATATATATAGAAACAAAAGTAAAACATGAGCAGAAGACCCATTAGGATGTATTTAAGAAAACTTTATAAACAAGTAATTAAATGAATAAGTAAATAAATAAAGATATTCAGTTCCAACACAACAGCTGGAACCTAACATCATTTTTTCTTAAAGGAAGTATAAACTTTAAATTCCGTATTACAGGCATCAGCAAGTAATTTATACTATGATAATTACTTACACAACCACAAGCACAAGCCATAACACCACCGTAGTGGCCCGATCCGGGTTTCGGGTTCTGCCCCCGAGGATACTCTCTGCATATCCTTTCTAGGCCATCAGCATGCTTACTAGTTTGCAAGATATCTTATCACAAGAAATCATTCATTAAAACTTTAAAACAGTTCATTATGATTCTAATAGCTAAAATCAAGCTATTGTGTTAAAATACTTTTCTTTATTAATCATGTCCTTTCTTTAAAACATTTTGTATAGGCCAAAACTCTTTAAAACAAGCTATCAAAGAAAAGGACAAGGAATCCTACCTCTCAAGTAACAAACCTGTTACTAGCGTTACGCTATCCTAGCTTCCGCTTCCTCAAAGCCTTCAATCCGATTCCTCAACTAGCATTGATACAAAATAACGTTTTAGGATTCAATTCTCATTCCTTAAACAAATCAAGCTCAATTATACACTTCGATTTCCTATTGGTGTGCCTTAATCCAATTTCAAGTTTCACAAATCATTTCATGTTTCAAATCATCATTCCAAGGATTTTGACATAAAAACTTGGTTAAAGATGCTAATTCATCTACTTTAGGTTCCCAAATGAAACTAATTTAGGTTCTCTTTGAAAATCAGGGTCAAAATAGGGTTTTAAGGCAAAACAGGTTCAAATCACGTGTGCACCAGTCGACCGGTGACAGAGAAGTTATTCTCCACCGTCGGCCGATGGAGAAGGAACTAGTCGACCGGTCCGGTCGACCGGTGGGGGCTGCACAGATCGGCCAACATGGCCAATCCGAAGAAAATAGGGCCAAAACTTGCAAATCCAAGTTCCAATATGAGATATTTTTTAAGAAATTCAACAAATCCAGGTTCCAAACAACAAATTAAGTCCAAAGAACCAATTTTTTTCCAATTTTCGTCACGATTTCACCCAAAATCCATTAAAATCCAATTCGAACTAAAAATAAGTTTTTCTAAAGGAAAAGTTCAAGATTTAAGAGAAGTTTTTCAGAAATCTTACCCCAAATCCTTCCCTTGATGTTGAAAACTTCTTGAAGTTCCTCTTTGGTTCAAGATCTTGGAAGATTTTGACAAATTTTTAAGAGAGTGAAAGAGAGAGCTACGGGAGAGAGAGTGAGAGAAACGACAGAGAGAGAGAGCTAAGAGGGAGCCACGGGAAAGAAAGAAAAAAAGGGAAGGAAAAAGGAAAGAAAAAGAAATAAAGTAAAGTAAAGGATAATTTCAAAAGATATTTACAAAAGTAAACCAGAAAATGTGTCTACACACACTTCTGGGGTGAAAATATAAATACTAAAAATGTTTAGAATCCTTAGAAATATATAAACTTAAATATAAAAAATATTTAATAAACATAATTAGTTAATTAAATCAGATTAGGCACACTAATAAATCTCAATTATCTCAATTAATCTTGTTTAATTCCTCGATGTGTTACATTTAATTTGCTTATTCGAGTTGAGATTTGACTTTATGTGAGAGCTTTTTACTTTAGCAAAAAAGTTAAATGTGATTGTTTTTAAGAACTTTTTACTGTATCAAAACTCGAATCGGTGAAGTGAATGGAGCCTAAGTGTTTACCATGCCATCAAATACATAATGCTTAATTATGAAAAAAAAAACATAACGTTTAATTTCTTTTTAGGAAAATAATGATAAGACAATATTGTTATTATATTAAACGGGGATGAACTATACTATCGTAAAGCCAAATGTTCTAACTCATCATTTTTTTTAGCAAAAAACATTGGGAAGCTTTTTTTTTTTTTTTTTTTTTTTTTTTTTTTTGAAGTAAAACATATGGAAGTTTTACTACACTCGTAATCATTAATTTGTTGCTTTTGAAATAACATGAACACAACATAATGTGATTCTATATTTTTTTTAATACAAGAATCAATCTCATGATATTATATAAAATAATTATGTAATAATTTATACACATTTGACAATTTATTTCTAGTTATTCAAAGCGTTCCCAAACTTTTTATGATCTTTATTATTATTCTCTTCTCCTTGAATAAATTAGTTTGTGGGCACCATTCAATCTTCTTAGATATATTAACCATCTTCAAGAACACTGATCTCAAATTTCCTTATGATCTCTCTAGGATATGAACGATAAATTACTTGACAGTTATATTATAACGTCCTCCGAAATTAAACTTATTTAATTATGATAATTGTGGTTTATTAGTGTGTCTAAATTTACTTTCTTAATTAATCATGAGCTTTTAAATTTATTTTTAGTATTTGCAATTTCACCCCTATTTGTTTTATTTATTTTTCCTTAATATTTTTCCTAATTTTCTTTTCCTTCTATTTCTCCTTTTCCTTTTCCTTATTTCTTTTTTTTCCTTTTTTAAGAGATTTTCAACATCAAAGCTTGGATCGAGGTAAAACTCTTTGAAACTTACTTTAGATTTTTGGATTTAGCTTTGTGGAACTCGTTTTAGTCGAGTTTGGTGATTTTTGGTTTAAATTTTTGTTTTCGAATGGAATCCGAATGGGATTTGGTGAAACCTTGATGAAAATTGGGGGTTTTTGATTCTTTGGACCCCATTTGTTGATTTGAAACTGGATTTATACATTTCCCTTGAGAATATGTCGAAATCAAACCCGAAATTGCAGGTTTTGGCTTTGTTCCTCGCGAATCGACCATTGTTGGCCCTGGAATTTTTCCCCACCAGTCGACCGGTCCGGTCAACCGGTCACCCTTCCATAGGTCGATCGATCCGGTCGACCGGTCACCTCTCCACCGGCTGACCAGTGCAGTTACACTCCTCTGTCACCGGTCGACCGGTTCCCACTGAAACTGACCCTAAATAGTCCTAAAAACTCTGTTTTGACCCCGAAACTCGATGTGTGATTGACCTAACCTAATTTGAGAACTCAAAATGAGTGGATTAGCCACATGAATCCTTGTTTTCCATTCGATTCTACGGAATGAATCTCTATCTATAAAGAATCATGATTTGAATTAAAAAAAAAAATTGTTTATGAACATTGATTTTGAACTATGGCACACTAATATGATACAATTGCATCTAATTAAACGAGAATGTTTGGTGAGAAAGATCAAACTCTAAATTGTTGATTTTGATGGGAAAGTCAGTGGCACGATTGGAATTGGAGCCTCAAAGGCAAGTGGAGCTAGGGCTACGTGAAGATAGCCATAGGTTTGATATCCAAAAGGTAGGATATTCTTGTCCATATCCTTGTTAGCCTTACTTTAAATGATTTTGGCCAATGAAAATGTTTTACAACAAAACACGATTAAAGAAAATGATTTTAAAGAAATAGCATGAGAATGCTATTAAGTTTTCCAATGATTTTGGAAATGAGATTTTAAAGTCTAAAAATGAAATATTTAAGGAATGATACACCGCATGGTGGCCACAGAGATCGGGATGTGGGAATCGCATCCTTGGGGGCAGGTGCCGAAACCCGTACGGATCCACTTCTTGCTCAGTAGAATTATGACTCTACACTTTTCATTAGACAAACATTTTTACCGCTTCTTGTTTAGTGGTATGATGAGCTGCACACTTTCATTATACAGATATTTTCTACTGTGAGTATTTCCTTTTCTAAAAAATGATGATCGGTTCCAGGTGTATATCTTCGGACCGTGAGTAGCTTTATTTTAAATGCTTTATAAAATTATATCCTACTGGGCCTTTCGCTCACCTTTCTTGTTTTCAAATGTATTAAACCCCTCCAGGAGACGCGAGGAGTAGTGCAGAGTAGGTAGCTACTACCGGTGGCGTGGACTTGACCTCGGAAAGTGAAGAGTTATCTTTGCTCTTATCTTTTAATTCAAGGCATGTATAAAAGATTGTGGATTGTAAACTTAAATATTACTAGACTGTGGTTGATGTCACATTTACTCTTGTTTATATTCATGTATGCTAAACACCTGTGAGAATTCCTGACTTGATACCAGGGATGTGGTTTTAAACTGGTTTGGTTGGAAATTCCACCACCCTTCTCGAAATTGAATTCCTCTTGAGAAAGGGGCTCGTTTGGAAATACTTGGATGTTTTGGATTTGAAAGAAATTAAAATATTTTGCTAATCACCCTCTCAAATAGGTTTAAGTTTCTAAACGAGCCTCCACGTCACTAACCCCGGTTTGGGGGCGTGACAAGACTTGGTATCAGAGCCCTTGGCTTAGAACCTTAGGGTTTGGAATTATGCATACATGAATGACATCAGGAAACCACTAAAACAGTCTAGCTTTCTTTGGGACGTGGTTTTAAACTGGTTTGGTTGGAAATTCCACCACCGTTCTTGAAATTAAATTTCTCCTGAAAAAAAAAGGGGGCTCGTTTGGAAATACCTGGATGTTTTGGATTTAAAAAATTAAATTATTTGCAACGTTAATTGCTAATCACTCTCTCAAATAGGTTTAAGTTTCTAAACGAGCCTCCACGTCACTAACCCCGGTTTGGGGGCGTGACAAGACTTGGTATCAGAGCCCTTGGCTTAGAACCTTAGGGTTTGGAATTATGCATACATGAATGACATCAGGAAACCACTAAAATAGTCTAGCTTTCTTATCAGATAAAAGAATGCCGCCGCACTGTAGAAACCCTAACCCGGCTGCGATGCCGAATGAGCAATTCATGGAAGCCATGTACGCCGCCTTCCAGGGGATGGCTACTAGAGCCCAAAATGAACGTCCTGCGGAGGACAGAAAACAAAACTACTTCTGTGAGTACAGGCGTAGTTCAATTCCTTTCACTAGCGTGGGTGGACCCCAGGAAGCTGAGTATTGGTTCGAATCGGTGTCTAAGCATCTAAGTACCATGGGAGTACCGGATGAGTATTGGGTGGAGTTTGTAGCTTTTAAGTTTGAAGGTCCTGCAGGTGCGTGGTGGAAGCATATCCGGCGAATGCATGATGTAGAGAGGATGACTTGGGAACAATTCGAAGCACTTTTTAATGAGCAATTCTTTCCCCAAAGCTATCGAGATGAAAAGGCCATGGAATTCATGGGCCTACAGCAAGGGGATATGACAGTGAGGGAATACGAGGCTAGGTTCAATGAATTGTCTCATTTTGCTCCTTCCTTGATTGAATCGGAGCGCATGAAGTGCCTAAAGTTCGAGAAAGGTCTTAAGGGTGTGATCCGAAAATCAGTGGTAGCTTTAAGGCATCGAGTCTATAGTGACTTGGTTGCAGCAGCCATCTCTATTGAACAAGAGCACATCGCCTTTCTCCAAGATCGAGAAGCTTTAGGAAGAACCTCAAGAGGACCCCAAAGGAGTAATCGAAAAAGCCGTGATTAAGGGCAAGGTAGTGGGGGAGTGCCTAGTGGTAGCAGTGGCTCTTCGGGAAGTGGGAAGAGTGGACCCTATAGCTTCAAGTGCCACCATTGTGGGGAACTAGGGCATATCAAAAGGAACTGTCCTATTAGGGGCCAACAGGTGAACCAACAGACTCAGCAATCACCGCAGAATCAAAGGGGTATTGCTCCTAGTCAAGACAGACTTCCACAGTTCACGCCTTTCTATCAGCCCCAGTTGCCTGTACAGATGTCAATTCCTCCTGCACCGATCTTCCGTCCGCCAAACTACTCTTATTTCTGGCCATAGGCTTCCCTATCAGTACAGTCTACCCCACCGCAGCAACAATATAGGCCTGGAAACCAGAGGCCTAACAACAACGAGAGAGGAAAGGGAAAAGCACTGGGGCAGGTGCATACCATGGCCGGGGGAAGTTCTGGAGCTCATGCCGGAAACCCAGTCATCGAGGGTATGGTACCTATCTCTCACTCTTTTGCGCGAGCTTTTTTCGACACTGGTGCTACGCACTCTTTTGTTTCCATTACTTTTGTGAAAATTTTAGGTTTGAAACTCGATGACGTAGAGACTTCAATGTTTATAAGCTCTCCATTGGGACGTGTGGAGGTGATTAGTATATGTAGGTCGTGTGTGATCACGATTGGGAGTGAGAAATTAAAGGCAGATTTGATAATCCTTCCCATGAATCAGTTTGATGTGGTGCTTGGAATGGATTAGTTGTCAAGATATGGGGCGATTGTTGATTGCCACCGTATGAGAGTTACCTTGACTACCAGTTCTGGCACGACAGTGACGTATCAAGGAGGTGTTAACCCGGTTACTGAAGAATGAGTACTGAGGCATAGTGTCGGAGGACGGCAGAATTTAGCTTGTTTCTCATTCCTTTCGGCATTAGAGGGTGAATCCAGTATCACCGGGGAGAATGTTGAGGTCCCCGTGGTCGATGAATATGCAGATGTATTCCCTGATGAGTTGCCTAGTTTACCGACTGACCGGGAGATCAAGTTTTGCATCGACTTACTTCCGGAAACAACTCTGATTTCTATTGCTCTGTATCGAATGGTGCCTGTGGAGATGAAAGAGCTAAGGAAACAGCTCGGAGAGTTGGCAGAAAAGGGATTCATCAGAAACAACATTTCCCCGTGGGGTGCACCTGTCTTGTTTGTGAAAAAGCACAACGAATCCCTTCGGTTGTGCATAGACTACCGACAATTGAATAGGGTTACCGTGAAGAATAAGTACCCATTGTCGAGGATCGATGAGTTATTCGATCAACTTGGAGGATCACGATATTACTCAAAAATCGACTTGAGATCCGGGTATCATTAGTTGAAGATTAGGGAAGATGATATTCCAAAGATAGCTTTCAGGACTCTCTATGGGCATTATGAGTTCTTAGTAATGCCTTTTGGATTGACGAATGCTCCTGCCGCTTTTATGGACTTAATGAATTGAGTCTTCCGCCCATATTTAGACCAGTTTGTGATAGTCTTCATTGATGACATCCTGGTTTATTCAAAGACTTGGGAAGAGCATGAGCAACATTTGAGGATCGTTCTCTAGACTCTTCGAGAGCACCAACTTTATGCAAAGAAAGAGAAGAAATGTGATTTCTGGTTGACAGAAGTCAAGTTCCTTGGGCATGTTATATCTGGACAAGGAATTTTAGTGGATCCCTCAAAGATTGAAACGGTGCTACAATGGGAACAACCAAAGAACGTAGCCGAAATTCGAAGCTTCCTAGGACTTGCGGGGTATTATCGACGATTTGTAAAGGATTTTTTGAGTATTGCTGCTCTAATGACTCGGTTGACTAAAAAGGAAGTCATGTTTGAATGGGATGCCGATTGTGAACATGCATTCCAAGAACTGAGGACTAGGCTAACCAGTGCGCCGATTCTGACGATTCCTAATAGCGATGAGTTGTACGAGGTGTATTTCGATGCATCAAGACAAGGACTTGGGTGTGTTCTGATGCAAAATGGACATGTTGTGGCCTATGCATCTCGTCAACTGAAGCCACATGAACAGAACTACCCCACGCATGATCTAGAGTTAGCAGCAGTGATTTTTGCTCTCAAAATATGGAGATGCTACCTTTATGGAGTACAATTCCAGATCTTCTCCGATCATAAGAGTCTAAAGTATCTGTTCACTCAGAAGGACTTAAATCTGAGATAGAGAAGATGGATGGCATACATGGAGGATTATGACTTCACCTTGCAGTATCATCCTAGAAAAGCCAACGTGGTAGCAGACGCTCTCAGCAGAAAGACTCCAAGAATTCTAGCATCTTTGGCATTGGAAGATTGGAAACGGAGTGCAATTGTAGGCGACTATAATCTTCAGTATTATGAGGCTTCTAACCAAGCTATGGTGTACAACATGGTTTCAATGCCAATTCTTATACTGCAAGTCAAGCAGAACTAATGGCAGGATTCGCATCTTCAAGGAATTTAGACTTGAGTTCATAATGGAGAAAAACTAGACGAATGGAATATTCAGAAAGATGGAACGCTCTACTTCAGGAATCGCCTTACCGTTCCTCAAGTGGATGAGATAAAGAAGACAATCCTTCACGAGGCTCACAAATCGAGGTTCGCTATTCACCCTGGGAGTACCAAGATGTATCAAGACCTAAAAAGGCAGTATTGGTGGAGAGGTATGAAGAAGGAGGTTCGCCAATATGTGTCAGAATGTGCGACTTGTCTTCGACTCAAGGCTGAACATCAGAAACCTGCTAGAGAACTGTAGCCTCTTCCTGTTCCTGAATGGAAGTGGGAACACATTACGATGGATTTTCTAATGGGATTGCCGAGGACTGAACATCAGCATGATGCTATATAGGTCATTGTGGATAGGTTAACAAAGTCCGCGCACTTCATTCCCTTTTGTGCGACTTATTCCAGGAAAGTTCTAGCAGAGTTGTATCTGGAGCACGTTGTCAGACTTCACGGAGTTCTGTTGTCTATCACATCAGATCATGACACTCGTTTCAACGCTAGATATTAGAGAAGTTTCCAAGAAGCCATGGGAACCGAACTGAATTTCACCACCGCATTTCATCCTCAGACTGATGGACAATCTAAGAGAGTTATTCAGATTTTGGAGGACATGCTTCGTGCTTGCATTCTAGATTTTGGTGGAAACTGGAAGAAGTATCTTCATTTAGCTGAGTTCGCCTACAACAACAGTTATTAGAGTAGCATTGGGATGGCCCCATTCAAAGCGTTGTATGGCAGACCTTGCAGATCGCCAGTTTGTTAGCTTGAGTCAGAAGATCGACTGACCCTTGGACCGGATGTTATCCAAGAGAATAATGAGAAAGTAGCCGTGGTTTGAGAACGACTGTTAATGGCTCAGAGTCGTCAGAAGAGTTATGCTGATAGGAGGCGTAGACCCTTAGAGTTCTCAGGGGGCAATTTTGTCTTATTAAGAGTCTCACCACACAAAAGAGTTACTCGTTTGGGTGTGAAAGGAAAACTCGCGCGGAGGTACATCGGGCCATTTTAGATCACACAACAAGTCAGTGTCGTTGCTTACCGCCTCGATCTTCCTCCAGAATTGTCTCACGTGCACAATGTGTTCCATGTTTCTATGCTTCGGAAGTGTCAACCTGATCCAGAAGCCATTGTGCAATGGTATGACGTGCCGATCCAGTATGACACGACTTACGAGGAAGCACCCGTATAGATTCTTGACCGGAAGATGAAAAGCCTACGTCGACGTGAGATACTATTGGTGAAGGTGTTGTGGCAACACCATGGCATTGAGGAAGCAACGTGGGAATTGGAAATGACGATACAGGAACGATATCCGTATCTGTTCATATCTTGAGGTAAATTTCAATTTCAGGGACGAAATTTCTTAAGGGGGGTAGAATGTAACGCCCTCCGAAATTAAACTTGTTTAATTATGGTAATTGTGGTTTATTAGTGTGCCTAAATTTACTTTCTTAATTAATCATGAGCTTTTAAATTTATTTTTAGTATTTGCAATTTTACCCCTATTTATTTTATTTATTTTTCCTTAATATTTTTCCTAATTTTCTTTTCCTTCTATTTCTCCTTTTCCTTTTCCTTATTTCCTTTTTTTTTTCCTTTCCCTTCCTCACATTACTCTTCCTCTCTCTCTCTCTTTGTCTCAACACTCTCTCTCTTTCCCTCTCTCAATCTCCTGAGCTCTCTCCCTCACACTCTCTCTTTCTCTCTCCCGTTCATCTCTCCCTCTCTCTCTCTCAAAGTTTCCTTTCTCAAGGGCCGGATTTAAACCAAAAACGGAGGTTTCCAAGAGGATTTCAACATCAAAGCTTGGATCGAGGTAAAACTCTTTCAAACTTACTTTAGATTTTTAGATTTAGCTTTGTGGAACTTGTTTTAGTCGAGTTTGATGATTTTTGGTTTGAATTTTTGTTTTCGAATGGAATCTGAATGGGATTTGGTGAAACCTTGATGAAAATTGGGGGTTTTTGATTCTTTGGACCCCATTTATTTTTGAATGGAATCTGCATCGGATCTGGCCGTGGCGCGTCTGGAGGTGGAACTTCGTATCCGTCCGGGCGTAGATCTCCTTTCATCCTGTTATTTCTCAGACGGACAGTGGGTTGTCACTATGTTGTTGGGGGTCGAACGCTTTCAGTCCCCAGCGGAGTCGCCAATTGTTGACGGTCAAATTTCGCCAACAAAAAACTGACCGGATTACCTCTCAGTTTTCTCTCGGGTTACTGGCCGTGTGTGTGTGTGTATTTACTAAGAATCGAATATGTAAATGACGCCAGGAAATTTATAGTGGTTCACTCTATAAATTTTAGAGCTACATCCATTATAATCTTGTATTTCTTTGTTTAGGGTAAGTTACAATTTACAATTTTTGTTCTCAGCTAGAGTTTTTTCGAACCCCTCCCTTGCTGGGGGTCTTTCTCCTTTATATTGGGCTTCCTTCACCCAGGGGGTTTCCTTCACAACTAGAAGCACTCAAGTGCTCTC